ATGCATGCTGTGCTTTATGATCGTGAAATTTCCTCCCACAAACGACAAACTGCCGCTCCCTGCAAAGCTGGACTGAAAATCCTAAGACCCTCAATGTGAAAGGCACCTTATAGGCCTGCCAGTCCACCCCTGGCTCCACAAGTCAGGAATGGGAGGAGGAGATGGCAGAGACGCACACAAGAAAGTTCTCGCAGGGCAGGGTGAGGAGCTCCTGACGATATGCACCTTCCCAGTAAGTCCCAGGGAGACCGCGCCATCCCCAGCCCGCTCTCATAGAGCTGATGTTTCAAGTCTCCGGCCAAAACGTCCTTTGTCTTGTCTTTGGTGTCCACAGTTGGCAGTGGTTTGAAACGCGGGTCACAGAGCTCTGCTTTCATCGTGGCGCATGAGTCTCTGCAGGCTTTAAACCACGCCTCCTCCCTCACACACAATTCCTCTGTCCTCGGGAAAAGTAACTGGGTGCTGTGGAAGCTGACGTACTTGACGGACACTAGCCCCACCCCTTTCCAGACCCCATGGGGCCCCAGGTTTGCCCCAGCTGTGAGTCTCCCAAAATGTTATCAGCAATGTTAGTAATTTTCCAGATAGCTTTCTCTCCAGTATCCTACTATTTCCCCAAGTGCAAAGCCCACAGTTTAAGTCCTCTTCTGAAAATTACTGTAATGCCTCTGACGGTTGTGCCTTCTCTGTAGAAAGCTTGCTGTTTAAGAAACAAACCCATGCATGCCCAGAGCATGGAAAATCACACATTAGAGATACAGGAATAACAGGCTGTATACGAAACCCCGTGGGACAGCACTTCTGTGAACGCACTGGGTACATCAGGGGGAGACGAGGAGCAAGCTGAGAGCAGCCAAGGGCAGCACAACCCGCAGACCTGCTTCTCAAGCTCTCCTGAGCAGGGCTGGGTGGGCCCAAGACAGAAAGGGGCCCCTCAAACCTTCCTCTGTGCTGGCTGAAGCAGGAATTTCAAAACAGCCCACCAACTTCATACACTGCATTCACAAAGGCCAACTTCACACACTGCATTCACACAGGCTCGCCAGACACAGCCCGTGAGTAAGGTCTTTCCTTCAAGCAGCTCAGAGGCCTGAGAAGGAACTTCGGGAGATCTGTACAGGCCTGGGCTTGCCACAAACTCAGGTCAAGGCACAGGCTGCCCTTGTCCTCACCGTCACGGCGTTTCAAACACCACAGTTATTCTATGAACTTTGTATTTTACTTTGTTTCTTAAGTATAATGGCCACATGGCTGGGCGCAGTGGCTCAGCTTGTAATCCCAGCATTTTGGGAGGCTGAGGTGGGCGGATCACCTAAGGTCAGGAGTTTGAGACCAGCCTGGCCAACATGGTGAAACCCCATCTCTACTAAAAATACAAAAATTAGCAGGGCGTAGTCACAAGCGCCTGTGATCCCAGCTACTTGGGAGGCTGAGGCAGGAGACTTGCTTGAACCCAGGAGGTGGAGGTTGCAGCGAGCTGAGATTGCACCACCGCACTCCAGCCTGGGTGACAGAGTGAGACTCCCATCTCAAAAAAAAAAAAAAAAAAAAAAAAAAAGTGAAATAGCAATGCATACCCAAAAACATTAGGAAAATGAAAAAAGTATGCAGAGAAAAAAAATCAACCAAATGCCAATCTGAGAGGTAGCTCTGAGCCTCATAGTATTTTTTGCACAGCTCTCTTCAGTTTATTATTTTAAGCATAGTTGAGATCCCACGGCATTAATACTTTTGGAAACTAACTACATATAATGAATGTAAAAATATTATCTTGAACTTTAGCACAACGGAACTCAACCCAAAAACTATGACCAGTGTTCCCTCTATTTGAACTGCATTTGTAAATAAATGCTGTTACCAATGACTGATTACAAACCAATAACCACAGAGTAGTCAGTCCATGAATTACAGGTAGTTCCCTAATTATGACAAACCTGGGTAAAGCAATGACTGCTGTCTCCACCTGCAACTGCCAACAACCCGCCACACAGGACCCCAAATTCCGCAACAACTTCACTGAAAACCCAGGAAGGTGAAGACGAGGTCATGAGGGACTTTCACCCACGAAACTTCAACAGCACACAGAAGCACAAGGCAGGCGGAACAAGATACTCAAAGGGTAGCAGAGGAAGACGGCGGGCAGGGAGGCGTGTGTGAGTAAGGGAACCTCTGTAGATTCTGCAGCAGCCGCACAGCCCGGGCTTGCATGGTGCTGGAGGACCCTACTACTGCCACGCCACAGCCACTCATCCCATAAGGCTGAGCGCCTGAGTACAGGTTTATACTGATTTCTGCTGGGTTTTACAGTGATTTAGAGCCAAAGTTCTAGCTCTTGGCTCTTCTTGGAAACTGGATGAGGACACCTCCCCCACCTTCTGAGCCTCCAGATCCAAGATGGGTGGGACTGTGGTGGTGACCCTGAGTGCTCATCGAGGAGGCTCTAGGCACTGTGCTAAGGGCTCTGACCCATATAGCTGATGCAGGAGCGTCTGTCTAAAACCCACAGACCCTAACATCAGACACACATGCTTTCCCCAGCCTCCAGGCACCCAGCCGCCTTACTCTCACATGTGTGTGTCCACTACTCTGGCTGTGTTGAGGGGAGATAATGTTTCAAAACAACTCTACTGTACTGAGGGGAGGAGAGGGCGCCCCCTACTGGAGCACTTGCAGCTGGGAGGATGGGGTGGAGTGCTGTCAGTGCCCAGGGTGGTGGTAGTCGGGGGCCTGAACAGAGTAAGTTTGGGGTTCCTGCAGAGGCTGTCATGGCTCATCAGTGGTCTTGTGAGCCAACAGCAGGTGGGGAGAAACCAAGGTGTGTGGGCTCTGGTCGCCCTGCGGCGAACCCTTGGGAATGTGCCCAGCCTTCTGACCCAGACAGCTCACAATGCCGCCCCAGCATGCCTCGGTTCAGATCACGTTCCCACTAGACCAGGGGATGCTGTGTGTCACAGAACGGCCACTATCAGCCAGCTCCACCACCCTGCCTGGCCCTGCGGGGTCTGCACATAGCTGTTCTTCTACTAGTGATTAACACGGCAAATAATCAAGGTCAGCCTGCCCTGAATTTGTAGTCCTCTCCTCTGCAACAGCTTCAGGGATCTAGTGGACGTGCACGGACAATGCATGTGGCTCAAGCAAACTCAACGACAGGCTTGGAAAAAGGAAAGGAGGAAGCAGAGGGATAGTCCCTCAGTGGGCACGCATCCCGGGCAGAGCACAGCGCCCCATGATGCCAGGGCAGGAGCTTCACAGGCTGCCAAGTGGGGCTCAGGACTTAAAGGTGTGCGGCCGTCTATCCAAAAATCCATGCAGTGAAGCAGTGAGGACTGGGCGTTAGGAGAGATCTACAGAGCACCTCAGCTAGCTGGCTGCCTACACCATTCAACACGCACCTCTGTAGCAGTAGAGCTGATCTTTGATTTGAATATTCAATAAAATTTGATATGACTTGATTTAATCATTTAAAGACAATCTCAGCTTTAAAAGTTTTTTGGGGGGACACATGCAGAGAGTTCACTCAAATAACTAATTTTTTAAAGTCTAAAAACGTTTAGTATATGCCAGTGCTAAAAGGGAAGAGCGAAGAACACAGTTGCGATGTTTACAAAAGATTGTATCAAATAAAGAGGAGCTCATGTTTTAACAATTCATCTCTGGCTGAACTGAAGAATATAAGCTTTACAAATGGAGTCAGGGCACCAGATGTGCCTGGGAAGCAGATTCAGCAGGTGGTTCCTCGGCTCTGCTAAAGCTTCCTCATTCCATATTTAACCTCTGAATAAAACAATTACAAAAAGACCTGACGCTGGAACCAAGGCCAAACACTTTCAAATGATCTCCTGCATGGACCTTCAAGACTTACCTTCAATTAATACCATAAAATAATTGCAATCAGCAAGAAAAAGAAATGTAATTCCTTTACATATGCATATAATATGCTGCCTTACACTGTAAGGCTTTTTTTTGGAGACAGGGTACTGCTCTATCACCCAGGCTGGAGTGTGGCAGTGCAATCACAGCTCCCTGCGGCCTTGACCTCCTGGGGCCAAGCCATCCTCTCACGTCAGCCTCCCAAGCAGATCAGACCACCATGCCCAGCTACTTTTTTTATTTGTTGTTGAGATGGGGTTTTAGTATGTTGTCCAGGCTGGTCTCAAACTTCTGTGCTTAAGTGATCCTCCCACCTCAGCCTCCCAAAGTGTTGGGATTATAGGCACCAGCCACCATGTCTGGCCTGCCGTGAGCCTTTTTAAGGAAGCAACTGTGTTAGACAACACTATGTGTCTCCCATTCTCCCTGTTCTTAACAGCATTTGACTTTGTTTAGGGCAGCAGTATGTTTAACGGAGGCCCCACTGCCCAGCCTCTGCTGCAGGTGGGGAGACCACGTGACACCACGCTAGCCACTGAGAGGTAAGGGAAGCCACTAGGTATGGTTTGGGGGGAGATATTTAAAGAAGGGCAGAGCCAGGGCCAGGAGCAGCGACTTGCGCCTGTAATCCTAGCACTTTTGGAGGCCAAGGCAGGAGAATTGCTTAAGCCCAGGAGTTCGAGACCAGCCTGGGCAACACAGTGAGATCCCATCCCTATCCAAAAATCAAAATCAGCCCAGAGTTATAGTGCCTGTAGTCCCACCTAATAGGGAGAGTGAGGTGGGAAGATCGTTTGAGTCTGGGAGGTAAGGATGCAGTGAACCATGCTTGCACCCCTGCACTCCAGCCCGGGCAACAGAGTGAAACCCTGTCTCAAAAAAAAAAAAAGAAAGAAGAGGCAGCCAACTACCTTTGCCAGTCCTTCCTGGAATGCAGAGCTAATGCTGGAACAGGGCAGCATCTTGCTGACACGGGGCCAAGCAAAGCCCCATGGCACTCTCCCTCAGGGCCCACGCTGCTTCCAAACTTGCTACACTGAGGACAGAACACCTGGGTTTAGAGCCCTGCAGCTGGCTCTGTCACAGGCAGCTGCACACAGGTCAGGATACACACAGTGAGTACTCACAGTCTGCCGTGTACTCCACCTGGGAGGGCTGCACAGGCACACCGTCTGCGTTGTGTGGGGTGGGAGTGGAGCTGTCAGCCTGCGCCTTACGAACAAGCGCTGCAAGGGGATGATCTGGGTCCACCACCTTCAAGGGCTGAAAACAGAGAAGACACAGCCTTAGCATTCAGTATTCTGAACCACACGGAACTCTTCTGCTACAAAACGCTCACCTCTAGGACACAGTGTACATGCCTCAGAAAAAACACACACACGCATGCACCCATGTAGGTCCTAACTAGTTGTGGCCAAATGCCCCAGCTGGCTGTCTCAGAGGAACTGAGTAAACACAGGGTTTCAATTTCCAAAATAACTATCAAGAAAAGGACAGATGAACAACTAAGTCCAGTTTGACACCAATTAAACCCCATGCAAAACTTCAAACTGTTTTTCCTTATAGGAGTTTCTGATTTTTAATCACCAACAGCTTTTCCAGTCCAATCAATCAGTAATCATTCCCACAAAAGGTCACCCACACTGCACAACTGCTGAAACTAGATGCTTAACTGCTGAAAACTAGACACTTAAATCTAGTCGACTCCTGTTTTTCCTGTCGCAAATGGCAGAGTGGTGTGAATTAACCACAAGATACTGCTGAGTGGTTTCTTCACACAGATGAGAGGAGAATTAGAAGTGGAAACATTTATTTAAAAACAATCTATGATGGTAACAGAGGACTTGAAGATGCATACATTCTAATCACCTACAAAATCTAATCCTATGATGAAATCACAACTAAACAATTTTCTTTTTTTCTTTTTGAGACAGTCTCACTCCGTCTCCCAGATTTGAGTGCAGTAGTGTGATCTTGGCTCATTGCAACCTCCACCTCCCAGGTTCAAGCAATTCTCATGCCTCAGCCTCCTGAGTAGCTGGAATTACAAGTGCACCCACCATGCCTGGCTAATTTTCGTATTTTTAGTAGTGATGGGGTTTCGCCATGCTGGCCAGGCTGGTCTTGAACTCCTGACCTCAGGTCATCCACCCGCCTCAGCCTCCCAAAGTGCTGGGATTACATGTGTGAGCCACCGCACCCGGACAACAGAACAATTTCCAAGTCTTAACCAACACTCTACTTATTCTAAGTATCTCAGAGAGTAAAACTGTAATGAAATGATAAAATTATCATGAGCAAATGCTCATGAATTTTATAAGATAGATAGGTAAGAAACCAAAGAAGCAGATGCTTTGTCACCCAGCTAAAAATAAAAATGCAAATACACCTCAATGATGATAAAATAAGATACAACTGTAACACACAAGAATGACATGCTTCAAATTTTCCAAAATTACGTTAGCAGTTTTGTGGTGGCATAAAAAATATAGTTCAACAATGAGATAAAAACCTTCATCAGCTCTTCAAGGCGGTTACACTTCTTGGAGGCAAAGAGAGAGGGATGCAAGTAATTCCCATCTTCTTCATCATCATCATCTTCATTGTCAGAGCTGACTCCTGATTCTGAAATCAAAATCACATTTCAAGATTTTGGTGTTTGGTGAGAAAAAAAGTACAAAAATTATGCAAAAACTTGGAAGCAGCCAAAGGTAGAGCTTCTTGGTTATCTGTCCAAAAAACACTATTAGTAATTTTTCCCTAGCGTCACCCAAGTTGCTCAGACGAAGGCCAGCTAGAAAGGACTGCAACCTTTGGCCATTTGGTGACTCCTGCCAACACTGAACACCAGCTGGTCTGGGGCTCTGTATGCTTTTTTCTTTCTTTTTTTTTCTTTTTTAAAAAAGGGCAAAAATTGTACTAATTTATGAAAAGTAAAATAACAAACAGAAATAAACAACTACAACAAACCTGAAGATGAGATCTGCATTAAGATTTACACAACTGATTTGAAACTTATTTTAGCTGAAGAGAACAAAATTCAGTGGAAGGGCCAGGCACAGTGGCTCACGCCTGTAATCCCAGCACTTTGGGAGGCTGAGGCGGACAGATCACCTGAGGTCAGGAGTTCGAGACCAGCCTGGCCAACATGGTGAAACCCTGTCTCCACTAAAAATACAAAAATTAGCCGGCCGTGGTGGCCACGATCCCAGCTACTTGGGAGGCTGAGGCATGAGAATTGCTTGAACCCAGGAGGCAGAGGTTGTAGTAAGCAAAGATCGCGCTCATGCCACTGCACTCCAACCTGGGCAAGAGTGAGACTCTGTCTCTAATTTAAAAAAAAAAAAAAATTCAATGGAAGATATGTGTGTGTGTGTATATATATACACACATATATGAACAGACTTGTCAAAATACCATCTTTATTCAAAATACAGCTAACTGGCTTTTGCAGTAAGAACTCTAAAAGAGAGACACCGTTACAAAAACAATAGCTTAAAATAGATAATCCAAGTAAAATTTTCACTTTTGTGGCCATGTATAGAGCTATGCAGCCCTGAACATTATGGTACATGAATAATCCAAGAGAGGGTGTAACTGTTTTCTCTCTGAAACGTTAAGTGGGTAAAATGAGGGCAAAAATTTCCCACCCAGATGATTATGTTCTGATAGCATCAATATTTAATTATATTTCATTTATCTATAAAATATTAACCAAGGATTTAATAAAGGTGCACCAGCAGGGGTAATGATCACGCCTTAGCTGCAGGATTTCAGACACATTCTAGAAATTCAAGTCTGGCTTTCAACCATGCATCTGTAAGAATGTACGTCTTCAAACTTTTCCCAGAACCACCCCTTGCCTGCCACCCCCACAACACAGGCCCAAAGTCTGGATGGAACAGATGCAGTGGGACCTACTTTTTTTCTCGTCACTTTTGTTTTCCGCCAGGACGGTGTAGCGTCCCTCTTTCATGGCTTTCTGGATGAACTTATAGTAGGGGTTGAGGTAGTGGTCGAAGCGCAGGAAGTCGAACTGGGAGTTCCGGGCCTGCTTGGCCTTCAGCATGATCTCAAACTGCGCTCCCTGCCTGCACACGAAGCTGGCCGTGCGCTCGATGATGGCGTGCATTTTAGCAGTTGGTGGCTACGGGAAAACACACATATTCACATTACCCATTTGTGCTCTTGTCCACCGGCCACATGATTTCATTAAAACAAAGAAATGACTCTAGCTTTACTGTCAATTTTAAGAGATACGAGACTTGAAGCTGGAAGAGCCAAGGCTGTTCAGACTCCTCATCTCCAAATCTCGTCAGGATTTTGCAGGGGAGAAAACTCGCCAGCGGAGGCAGGCCACTCCATGGTGGTACAGACCCATGGGAGGCAACCTCTTTTTGCACCAAGTCAACATTTTTCTATATATCAAGGGTCTTTAAGTTTGGTTCTATGATGGAATTCAGGGGGTTTGTGAATCCTTTGTGTATGCAAATTTTACATACGAACATTTTTCTAGGGAGAGGATACACATCCCATGGTTCTCAATAATCAGAATCACCGCTCTTTCCTTTTTCTTAGTGGGGACTCATTCTCACAGCTTGGAGGTTCCCTCTTAAAAAACAGCCCTCTCGACACCCAACAAAAGCCACAAGAGCACATACACCATGTCTTGTCTTCTGCACCTGACCCCTTCTCCTCAGCCTCTGCACAGTTCCTGGCTCACTGCCATTCCCACTTAGAAGCAGTATCCCAAGCTGAAGACCACCTAGGTGTTGTCTGGCCAGAGCAGACGGGACACTCCAGACACTCCAGGTGAGTTTCTTCCCAGCATCAAAGCCCTCCCTCATCCTTTCATGTGCTGCTAAGGAGTCACTTCGACGACCCTCACGCTCTTAGCATTTCCTGCCCCCAAAAGGATCTTGTTAGACTAAAGGCTGAAAGCCACACATCTAAAATACTTTTCATATCAACAAAGAGATTAACACTAGGAAATTACTTGCAAATAAAACTGGCAATTATTCTCATTAAAAATGGATGGTTAAGAATTCAGGGCTTCACCCTTCATAAAATATAAATGGCTTAGTTCTCTAATTTAATTTTTGAACTAATAACATCCTTCACACTTAAAAAGGGTAAATGTCTACAATTAAAGTTATTCATTAATCCCCAAATAATTTAAATTCCATGTTAAAGGCCCATTGTGTGCATATGGATCATGACTTGGATTTTCAGTAGCTTTGGTTATTGATCGTTAAAACAAAATATTCCATAAACACATCAATAATTAATGATCACTTCATAACAACCACCCTTAAAGGAAAATATGATGTTCCCAGTTGAGGCTTTCTTTATTGACCAAATCAACTTGTTGATCTAAAATTTCTTAAAAGTCGGCCTATTTGTTATATAATATTACTACTACCATGGTTAAAAAGCAATGTGTAGGTTTTTACAAAAAAACAAAACATCTTATGAACATATTTCAAGGTTGGCTACCAACCCTGAAAGAGATTAAAAAGTACCTGGTTTGGAAAAAGCCATTCTTTACTTTCTTTATTATGCAGACTTTAGGTAAATCATTTTCCATTTAAGAATATCATGATCATTCCTACTACACAATGAGATTTAAAAAATACAGTCAACATATAAATATGCATGTTACAATGGCCTGAGAAAAGGAAACTGTTTTTCGAATTTAAATCCAGTGGGGAAGGCTTCTGTTTAAGGAAGCTGACAGAGCTCCAGAAAGGGTCTAACACCTCCTCTCCCCCTCCCTGGAAATTCCATTAATGTGAATTTAAACTCCAGCGGAGGCATGGGAAACGGGAGAAAGGTATCTACGGGTCAGAAAACCCACACAAATGTATGGTTTCCTAAGAGCTTTGGAAAAAGTTTGAGCTCAGACCCATTGGCGAACCAGGAAGGAGGTGGCACGACATGAAGACAGGGAAATTAGCAAGGAACCCCAGGGGCAGCAGGGCCAGCCCTCTCCTCACAGGATTAGGGGAGAAAAAAAAATCAAATACCTGCTTTGCCCAGAGACCTAAATAAGTATCAGATTGAGCCAAAATTCAAAGGCAAAAATACAAATACAGAAGTACGGCCAGGCCCGGTGGCTCACACCTGTAATCCCAGCACTTTGGGAGGCCGAGGCGGGTGGATCATGAGGTCAGGAGATGGAGACCATCCTGGTTAACATGGTGAAACCCTGTCTCTACTAAAAACACAAAAAATTAGCCAGGCGTGGCGCCTGTAGTCCCAGCTACTCGGGAGGCTGAGGCAGGAGAATGGCGTGAACCCGGGAGGTGGAGCTTGCAGTGAGCCGAGATTGCGCCACTGCCCTGCAGCCTGGGCAACACAGCAAGACTCCATCTCAAAACAAAAACAAAACAAAAAACAAAAACAAATACAGAAGTACTAGCAGTAAATATAGGAAAATATTTTCAAACTCTTGCGAGTGGGAAAAGTCTTCCAACATAAGCTTTAAAATTCTGAAGCCATAAGGAATAGAGGAACATGTATCACTCTACACCTAAGTTCTGCACAGAGTCGCACAATCACTTACAAGACAGAGCGTGGGGAGAAAACAGCTGGAGGACACACTGGGGACCAAGAGTTACTGCTCATCAGACGTCAAGAGTCCTTATGAATCCGAGCAAAAGGCCAATCACTCCACAGCAGTTCAAGAATGAATCAACATTTTTCTCTCCCCACCCACCATCCGTGACAATACAGTACCTAAATTATGATGAAATCACACTCTAATCTGCACAGATTTGATAAAGCTTAACTTCAGTGGTTCAGCGCTCTGCAGTCGGTCCCTTGGCTGGAACCCCAGGCCTTACTCTAACATATCTAACTTAGGGCAGTTACTCTTAACTTTCTAAACCTTAACATCTGGAAACAACTGTATCTGCTTCATAGAGTTATTTTTGTATTTTTATTTTTTTGAGACAGGATCTGGCTCTGTTGTCTAGGCTGGAGTGCAGCAGTACCATATCAGCTCACTATAACCTCCACCTACAGGGCTCAAACCATCTTCCCACCTCGGCCTCCTGAGTAGCTGGGACTACAGGCATGTACCACCATGCCTGACTGATTTTTTTTATTTTTTGTAGAGTCGGAGTTTCACCATGTTGCCCAGACTGGCCTTGAACTCCTGGGCTCAAGCGATTCTCCCACTTTAGCCTCCCAAAGTGCTGGGATCACAGACATGAGCCACTGCACCCAGCCTGTGGAGTTACTTTGAGTATTCACTGAGAGATACGCCTAAAGAAGCACTTAGTACAGTGTCTGGTACACAGTAAGTGCTCCATAAAGGCTGGTTCTATGTTATTATTCATTAACGGAGTAAACGTTGCACATAACAGCAACTATCAAATCCTTCCCTGCTTTTCTTCTGTCCATAACATGTGTTGGAGCAAGCACATTTCCCTTGGAACCATGCCCTAACAGGTCTGGGACTAGAGGCATGCGCCACCACACTGGCCTGTTATTTTTACTTGTTTATAGAGACGGGATCTCACTATGTTGCCCAAGCTAGTCTCGAACTCCTGGCCTCAAGTGATCCTCCCATCTTAGCCTCCCAAAGGGCTGGGATTACAGGTATGAGCCACTGTTTCCAGCCTGGGGTGCTGTAATTTCTAACTACTTCTTACTCTTCATCCAAAAACCTCAAGGCTCCTGTCATCATTAGGTTCTAAACCAAGTTAGTTCAAAAACCAAGAACCTCCTAAAGTACCTGCTGTTTTTCCCAATCACTCCAACCTCGTCAGTGAGTCAAACCATGTCCTGCCCCTGAGGCAGCAATAGTCTACTTAACCACAATTCAACAATCCTGAGGCCTAGTCACCAAAACACCTTATAATTCAGACACTTCTGTTTTCTACATTTTCTCCACTAACATGGACACCACAGTGTATAATTTACACAATGAATTACTGCCAAAAAATCATAATAATTATGAGAATGAAATACTGACACTACCACAAAGTAAATGAAAGACGCAAATGAGAGACTCAATCAAGCCCTCAGTTTCCACACAGTCAAAACAACATTCAAGAGGCCTTTTATAATATTAGAAGAAACTCTAATGATAAGATAGCAAGTTGCTACACACTAAGACTTACTTTGTTCTCCAATGAGTGACAAGTATGTTTGATCTGGCAGACTACCAAGAGCTTAGTGATGCCTAGTTTGGCTAAGAACACAAAGCTATTAAATATTTTAATAGGAATTAAGGCAACAAAATTCTATTGTACCTCTATATTTAAATTTGAATAAAATTTAAAAAATCTTTAACACTAAAAACAAAATTCCATATAGTCAACTTCACATAAACTTTTTAGCATTAAATATTAGATGCAGCACTTAGCATTTAATAAAAATGGAGTAACTGATTTTTAAAGCTTCATGTTAATGTGTCATGCATAATATACATATTTCAGAACAAACAGGAATACGACATATACTAATACATGGAAAATATATTAATACAAGTCTCAGGATATCAAATCTTTGGGTAATTTTAGCTTTAACTATAGCAAAATCATCAATACTAGAAATGGAGAAACAAACAGATATAGTAATATAGTTTGGATCTGTGTCCCCACCCAAATCTCCTGTTGAATTGTCATCCCCAATGTTGGAGGTGGGGCCTGGTGGGACATGAATGGATCATGGGGTGGATCCTTCATGAGTAGTTTCGCACCATCTCCTCAGTGCTGCTCCCGTGATAGACAGTGAATGAGCTGTTGTGAGATCTGGTCATTTGAAAGCATGTAGCACCTCCCTGTCTCCCTCCTGCTCTGGACATGCTAAGACATGCCTGCTCCCTCCTCACCTTCCGCCATGAGTTAAAGCTTCCTGAGGCCTCCCCAGAAGCAGATGCTGCCCGGCCTCCTGTACGGTCTGTAGAACCGTGAGCCAATTAACCCTCTTCTTTATAAATTACCCAGTCTCAGGTATTTTTTTATAGCCATGCGAGAAGTAGTAATTACACTAGGCAAAATCCAAAAAGTTATTTTACCCATATTTGCAAGAATAAAAGAGAGAGAGGGGATATGTAAATGAATAAGGGAAGAGAAGGAAAGTGTTGGAGGCAGGAATTAAAAGGGCTATTTTTATATTGCCCTTCATCACATAATGAAGGGTAAGAACCCTCAAATTCACGCTGAACTCAACGAGACTGGCAGCAAGTGATCGCAGTGGGAGGTGAGAGATGCTCTTTCTGTGCTGAGCTTTCCCGGCATCTACTGTGCAGGTGATTCAGGATGTGGGACACAAAAAGAATCGAGAATGCCTGCGTCTATGCCACTTGCAGTCCAGTTACAAAAATGTCCAAGAAAAAACTTCCTGCTAGGCACAAACACTTAAGATTCCTTCCCAAGTATACACACGCAGCAGAAAGATTTTCAACTTCCCTAGTAAACATATAAAAATCCCATAAAGCACGGTGACTGAAGATGGCATCATAGTTAAGACCACGGTTCCCAGTTGCCATTTATTAGCCAAATTCTTGACGTTCCTAAGTCTCAGTTTCTTCATCGGCACAAGAGGGAGAGTAAACAGCAGCTCACTTATAGGACTGTTAGCATTAAATAAGATTAATATGCAAAAAGCAGCTTAGCACGTGACTAGAATGTGGAACTCCCTCAATGAACATTCAGAAAAAAAGGAAAAATTCTGGTTTGGGCTTTAACACCTGTTATAACTTAATTTAATGTGACATAACTGAAATAGCAGGAAAGGTCAATGCTGAACAGACAGTAACCAGCTGCAAAGACCTCAGATGAGGAAAACCAGGGTAGAATTCCCCTTCATCAGTGGAAGGGCGGCCTGGGCCTGGAGATGCCACAGGGACCTCATCACAACACAGAAAACTGCCAAGAAAATGTAACGTGAAGTGCCCCCAAAAATCACACTTTAAAAAGCCAGAACAAAGCAACGTTACTGAAATCAACGCTGTCCTGAGCAAGAGTGCTTTTGCATCTATGTGTGGTTAACAGCCCACTCACCACTGATTCTGACTTGGGGATTCAACTATATGGCCGCTGAAACACACCCAAGTCCTCAAGTCCCTAATGCTCCAGTCTAGTTCAAATTTTGCTATAAGTCTTCCCTTTTTCTTTGAGGAAAATAAGTAGGGTGTAATCTTTTTACCCATTAACTCACAAACCATTTTAAAGCATTACATGCCTAAAAAGCAGCTGTAATCATCGAGCTTCCCCACAAGCAGGACTGAATCATGATAAATCATAACGACGACAACTAGTGCTCATGAAGGACACATACCAGCTCCACGTCAGATGGGACGCTCAATCCTAAGGGGGCAACGAAGGGCTCTTCATTTTCCTCTAAATTTTCAGCCTCATTTTTTTCTGCATAAAAAGAAAATTTAAAAATTCAGAACAATACAGGGAGGAAGGGACCTGCAGCAAGACGGAAGCATGTGACTGGCTGTTCCTGCTTCTTTACCTTCTGTTTTATTTCTAGAAGCCAGTTTCAGCTTTCTCTTCTACCTACAATGCAAGTGAAACTCACTTTACAAAATTCCCAATCAGGCGGGGCGGGGGGTGGCAGGGGCAGTTCCGGCAGGGAGGTGTGGTGCAGCAGAAGGAGTGTGTCTAGGGTCAGACTGCACGGCATTCCCTTGGTATACACAGGGTTCTAGGACCCCTGCGGACACCAAAATCCACATGTGCTCGAATTCCGCTTTTGGTCCATTTGAACCCACATATACAAAGAAGCTGACCCTCCATATATGCGGGTCTCACATCCCTCAATCTGATCCCTGTATGGCTGAAAAAAATCCTCATATAAGCGGACCTATGCAGTTCAAACCTGTGTTGTTCAAGGGTAACTGTAGTTAAACTCCTGCCCTGCCACTTGTTAGCCCCAGGATTCTGCTGTTCTCTGTTTCATCACAGGCTGTGAAGTCATCGCATCTACTCCCAGGGCCAAGTGGGGCTCAGGTGAGATAGCCCACCTGAACATCTCTACCATAATCTTCCGCACTTAGCAGATGCTCAGTCCATGTTCCTTTTCCCCTCCGCATCTCTTTCAGGTATGTAGGTAAGTATTTCATTGGTATCGCTAAGATTTTTCTCCAACTATTTCTGTGGATTCCTGACAGCATGACACAGCACAAGGTAATCAATTCCTAGATAAATGATTTTCATCTTTGAATTGTAAACTACCTGGGTATAACTGTCAAGATTCCTCCACCCAAGCAAATTACCTCTTTCACAAATAATCAATTATTTTTCCATTTCTGTTTATTCATTAACCATTCACTTAACAAGTATTTGCCTACTACATGGTAGACAAGGTACTACACATTATCTTTCTGTATTCTAAGGTACCTAAGTACATCTCAATAACTCAGATGATTACCAGTTTAAAAAGACACACTGAAATGTACAAAAATACCACAGCAAACTTTAAAAAGCTAACTTTTTTAAGGATTTCAATGATCTATTGAGGTTCTTATTTAAAAACAGATGACATTAAAGAAGCAAACCTTAAATCTTCATGAAAATAAATGTTTCTATCATACACAGTAAAGGCTCTTGAAGCGATCAATAATTTGCAAAGATCTCCTGTCAAGCCTCATTCTGTGAAACCAAGGAGGAATTTTAAGCAGGTTTCCTGGTATATAAAAACTTGGGTATTCTAGTCTGATCAGATACAAGTTGATTACAATCCCTATTAAGTTACAGTTATTTAACACTGTCCCATCCATTTCTGTTTGAGTCCCCTGTTCTTTCAAAAATCAGAGACAAAGCTGGGTGCAGTGGCTTTAATCCAGTGGGATTAAGTCCTGTAATCCCAGCACTCTGGGAGGCCGAGACAGGTAGATCACCTGAGGTCAGGAGTTCAAAACCAGGCTGGCCAACATGGTGAAACCCTGTCTCTACTAAAAATACAAAAAATTAGCCCAGCATGGTGGCACACACCTGTAATCCCAGCTACTTGGGAGGCTGAGGCAGGAGAACTGCTTGAACCCAGGAGGCAGAGGTTGCAGTGAGCTGAGACGGTACCACTGCACTCCAGCCTGGGCCACAGTGAGACTCTGTCTCAAAATTCAATCAATCGATCAATCAATCAATCAGAGATGAATGAGAGGGCAGAGATTTACTACTGCTTTTTAAAAAGCTCCCTGTAATTAGTAATCCTGTCATTCAGCTTCAGTAACCAAACGACACAGTAAGATTAGAAAATACCAGAAACACTGGTCTGCAGCGATTTTCTGTTGGTAAAATGCCAAGCAGCAGATGTTTCCTCTTTCTCAAAATCTCTTTGGGAATGAGGCAGGAGTGTGTGTTTAAAAATGCAACTTTTTATATTCCAAGGTAGACTGCCTTAAAAAAAATAAGTAAGGCTGGGCACGATGGCTCATGCCTGTAATCTCAGAACTTGGGGAGGCCGAGACAGGTGGATCACTTGAGGTCAGGAGTTTGAGACCAGTCTGGCCAACATGGTGAAACCCTGTCTCTACTAAAAATAGAAAACTTAGCCAGGTGTGGTGGCAGGCGCCAGCAATCCCAGCTATTAGGGAGGCTAAGGCATAAGAATTGCTTGCACTCAGGAGGCAGAGGTTGCAGTGAGCTGAGATCGCACCACTGCACTCCAGCCTGGGTGACAGAGCGAGACTCTGACTCAAAAAAATAAAATAGGCCGGGCGCGGTGGCTCACGCCTGTAATCCCAGCACTTTGGGAGGCCGAGGCAGGCGAATCACAAGGTCAGGAGATCGAGACCACGGTGAAACCCTGTCTCTACTAAAAATACAAAAAATGAGCCGGGCGAGGTGGCGGGCGCCTGTAGTCCCAGCTACTCGGGAGGCTGGGGCAGGAGAATGGCGTGAACCTGGGAGGCGGAGCTTGCAGTGAGCCAGGATCGCGCCACTGCACTCCAGCTTGGGCGACAGAGCAAGACTCCATCTCAAAAAAAAAATAAAAATAAAAATAAAAAAATAAAATAAAATAAATTTAAAAATACAACTTTTACTATATTTTCCTAAAATGAAAAAAACAATTAAAACATTGTCTAGGCAAAAAGCCTTTCCTTAATGTTAAGTTATTCACAAAAATAAAGGCATTTTAATTGAAATAGCCTTTTGGGATGGATGGGTTAAATAGATTTGTTCTATTCTTATATATACCTTTATTTACAAAAAAAAACCCAGCTTTAGTAGCATAAAATAAAAACCAACCATTGCAATAAAAACTCAGATTTAAATAAATTCAAATAATCTTTTGTTTAAAAAATAGATATATAGCAGTGAGGGCCTGTCCCCGCCCCATTATTCCCCTAAAAAAGAGGAAAAAAATGGATATAGAATAATGATGAAAAATTATGAACATCTAAAGGATAGAAACTTGACTGAAAACAGTAAAGATGGCAGAGATGGAGGCACCATCAACTGCTTTTGGCTAGTATCACAAGGCTTTAAAATACTAACAAATAATACAATAGAGTAATTTTGAAAATCAAGACATATGTAGACATATTGACGGCTCAGGAAAAAAAAATTACTTTAACAGAATGTGACACTCAATGTGGCTGTTAGTGGTATTGGATTCTATCACAATATGCACGTGTGTGTGTGTGTGTGTGTGTGTTAGGTGTTTCACTTATATTAATGCAAGTTAAACATAAAACGTCAAGCTCTAAGTTTTATGTGGGCCCAATTTCCATTAAGGAAATTAATCAGCATATAAGGTAATGTTCTGAGAACATGATTACAGAAAGAAAATAAGTAACACTGTAAAATACTAAAGAGAATTTTATCTTAAGGCGAAAGCAAACTAATACTCAGAAGATAAACTAAGTCATGCTGAAGTTCTCAAAATTCAGTAATTGTAACAAACTGAACACCATTTAGCCCAATAATTACACTGAGACAACGGTCCACCAGCGAGAACCGGGGCTGACAAACTCTATAAAATGCCAGACAGTATCAATAAATATTTTTGGTTTTGTGGGCTATATGGTCTGTTTCATTTCTTCAACTCTGCTGTTGAAGTGTGAAAGTGGCAACAGACAATATGTAAACAAATGATCATTGCTGTGTTCCAATAAAACTTTGTTATTTTCTTTCCAATATTTTAGATCTGTGGTTGGTTGAATTCACAGATGTGGACCCGATAAGCTGACTGTATTTCAACTCTTTATTTGTGAAGTGGTTATAGTATCTATTCTTTCCTTCTGATAAAAACACCACAGATAGAAAGTCGAACTCATGTGTGTCGCTTAGAGATAAGACAACAAAATCACAACTATCCAGAACCCTAGGAAGGAGAGCTTATGCTGGATAAATAAATGGGTGTTTACTTTTTAGACCTGATAGAACATTTCCAGTGCATTGTAACTTCTGAGGGATGGGTAGGTTTGAAAGTTAATGCAAAAAGTCTTAAGTACCTTAACTAGCCTTTAACTCGGTATAACTACAATTACACTTGAAAGTTTCTCTAAAAGCTCATAAAATAGAGCTGTGCAACAGTAATTCTTGTGCCCACGAAGTAAGGAGCAGGACTAAAGGCAGGGCAAAAGGAAAGCCTGTGTGCGTTTGCCCCACATTCTATCATTCCATTAGGACCGCAGCCCTTGGAGAGTGCCGACGGGTAGAACCCTGGTGCAGTCACAGCACGGAGTGGCAGACATCATTTTGCTTTATACTAAAATGCTGTAATTGCTTCACACTTGTTAAAAGATGTGTTACTTCGCTGGACGTGGTGGCTCACGCCTGTAATCCCAGTGCTTTGGAGGCGAAGGCAGTAGGATCACTTGAGCTCAGGAGTTTGAGACTAGCTTGGGCAACACAGTGAGACCCCATCTCTTTTCAAAAATTATTGTGTATTTTATAATAAAAAAATTTAAAAAGATAACAAAAAAGTGTTACTGAAGGAGAAACCAATGAAGTTCCGAATAACAGATTAAATTAGCTCTAAAACTGAATCTCCATTTGATGTAATTCCACTTTACTAAACGTTTGAGTCAGTTTCTAAGTTAACGTTCTCCTTCTTTTTAAACAGAACATCCTGAATATAGTGATCCGTCTTTAATGTGTCAGGTTCATGTTACCATTATTGGTAACTAATGACTGACCATGATGCAGTGCTGTGGTAGTGGAGCTCTCAACGCTTACTGAAGTGATTAAGGATATTTGTGTCTACACCACATGAGCCCAGGTTTTTCAGCAGCACTATTTTTTATATCCAAAGTTTTCCATGTTAATCCAGAAAAGCATAAATTCCAAATCTTTAATTTAAAGTACTGTGATAAGCATATGTAGGTGGCACCAAGGCTACCGGAGAGCTGTGTTGTTTTCTGGGGAGTAGTAACTCACTCACTGTGTCCTTCCACTGGGCATGTGTCACTGTCTCAGTTGTGCAGGGATATGGAGAAGCAGATTGGTGAGAGGGCGGTGAGGTTAATGTATCCCAGCTCACACCTATTCTTTCACTGCCTCAAGAATGAATCCCTGAGGATATTAATGAACATGTTAACAATCTAGAAACAAATAATCTGGAGTGAGTAATTCTGTTACCCGAATCAATGAGAAATAAATGATCCAATGCATTCACTTTCCACCTCCACTAATCATTCCTGTTCTAGTTTTTAACTTTGTTTTACCAAAAGAAGGAATACCACTTACACCCGTTTTCCCCTGTGGTCATAGTGGTGTTATCATGAGTGCCAGAGATGTGTTCTGCAGACTTGACCATGGTGCATGCAGCCTGTGTGTACACATGTAGCCCCACACCAGCAGTCCAGGCAGTTTCCCGCTCACCTCTCTGTTTGGAAGGCTCCTCCTCCTCCGTCGGCTCTGACGGGTCATAATAGTCGCTACCGTAAGTGAACCCCACGGCATTGTAGCTCCCATCCTCTGCTAGTGCTTCACTCAATCGCTTGTATTCTTCCTCTTGAATAAAAATGAGAATTTTATCAACAAAAATAGAAAATTACTGAGAAAAACTTTTATTTCTAAAGTTGTAGCTATCAGTAAAGCATACAACATACTTTTTTCAACCTCCTTTTGAGGTAAAATATTTTTTAAAATTCACACTTTATATCTATCAATATGTACTTTTGTCAGTACATGTTTACCCACAGACAGCTGAATACACGTCTTTTGTGGAAAATTTCTTCCTGCTGAGAAAATCTTAGGATTAAGAACTGTAGTAAAGATTGTTACGGCAAAGACAAGAACATCAATTTTATTTATACGATACTGTTAAAGAAGAACAGTTAAAGAGTTTGGTTTTTGTTTTTTTCAAATCCCAGTCTGCCCTCAAAAGCTGGGAAAATTCTTTGTGGCTCTATTTATAAACTATCCTGAGGTCCTCTCAGAACGCAAAGACTCCTGTTTTTCCAATCCACTGGGTACTGTCAAGATAATATCAGAAAGAGTGAGTATAAAAAAATGAATGGGAGTAAATTTTTAAATACTTAAAAATTTTAAAAAGTTTGTTGCTGAAGTAAGTTTGTCTTGAGCAGTACCTTGCCTTGCCTCCTCCTCAAGCAAGTCCGTATGCAAGGCTAAATACCTCTCTTCATCACACAGGGCCTCTATTCGCGCCTCCTCTTCAGACAGCTGATAATCTCTGTTCCACGTGGAATACTCAGCATCGTACTCAGAAAGGTCATGCAGGTGACCACGTCCATCATATCTGTAATGTGAACAAACTGGTCAATAAAAGGAAATTAACGTCTAGACTGGCATGTGTGTGTGTGTTTTTTATATATATATATACACACATACTTACCGATTAAAATAAATAAAAATATTAAAACAAGTATAAAAACTCTTCCCAGGTTTACATTTAATTTGGATAGTCATATCTCACCTACTTTTAAACTCAAGTTATCTTAACAAAGTCTAAATTCCTTTCCACAGTAAGATAACATTTATAACTAAAGGCAAACAATCCATTATTAGGAAAAATGGTATCCACTTCACTGGCAGTTCTTACCATTATGGTTTGGTCAACCATTCAATGCCACTTGCAAAAAATTATTATTTTTTTCTGAAAAGTTAAATATCATAGCTTACATTCACACAAACCAAATACATAAATACCTATCCGTAAGAACCAAACGGTCGAAATTTCCTCGCTTCTTTCTGCTAGTCCCGAACTCTCAGGAGAGATCTTCACCAAAGAAACTTGCGTCCATTGGAGGTAAAATCTTGGCTAGGCTCGCCCCCTAGCCACTTGGCTGAGGAAATAAGTGCTGGGTTATGTGATAGAGAGACACACATACATCGGAACAGTGACATATACATGCAGTTTAAGGAGGTTCACTGGCAACAGAGCAAAACTATTAGAAGATACGGTATCAATATTTCCTTCTGAACTTTATACCCGCAGGAAGTAACATACATGAAGACACTTCCATGTTTCTCTTGCATGGACCAATCAGTAATTTAGCCAAACAATGGGAGCACTTTCTGCTATGCTTTTAACATAAACGATCCAATGAGGATGCTGTCAACGTGTAAAACTGTCAGATAATAAATGAGTGAGTTAGTGAATTTTACTTAAAACACTCAGATTTAGGGTTTCAAAAACAAACGTAGAGAAACAAACAAAAGTCTGCTTATTTTTTAAATGCTGACTTTTGTAATGGGAACCAAAAATATTAATGTAGACCAAAAAAGACATTTACAAGAAAAAGGCCCAAAATTCCAGGGTAGTCAAGTTACTGCATTTTATTAAATTTCAAAATTAATTGGACTTTGATGTAAACCTCCTTAACTTACAAATGTAGATTATTATTAAAAATACTATACATGTACATGTGCGGCGTTTGCTCCCCACCAGTTTTGGAAGACCTAACTCAAATCATGTACAGAATGATAGGAAAACTGTACAAAGAGCTCAGACTTCATTGCTTACCAAACTTTAATGATAAATATCACAAGTGACACTTTGGAAAAGCAAGCCTGATAACTCAGGTGACACATTCAATATAAACCATGGTGTGAAGGCACAGCAGGCTTGAGCGGAGCACGGAGCCATCAGATCCAGGCATGATCTGATTCCGCGGCCCTCCCTTCACCAGTTCTTGTTTTCTAGCTCTAATTCCAAGTGGAAACGTCAGGGATGGAAAAAGGCCTATTTGGTCATTAATGTGTCCATTCTGGCCAGCTCAGAAGTCATCCCTACGGTCATGCTCCAGGGCTTTGAAGAATCCAGTTTTAATGGTCTCAAACGATGGGCTTTCTTCACGTGGAGAGACTATTCCACAGTTTAATGGTTGGTCATGGTTAGCTTTTCAGTCCGGGCCCCAGAAGTAGCCAAACAGGCAAAAAAGAAAAAAAACCACCCCACAACAACCCCAAAACCCAGAGACAAGGGGAAGGGGGATTGAAAAAATGGGAAGAGGGGAGCAAACCACCTACATCATGTAACGTTATCCTTTTCAAATCAAACGCCTTTAGAAATCCCTAATCCCAGGCCCCCACTGCCCATAATGGCTAGACACCCTCGAGTGACGACCTAAAGCAGGTTTGATTTGAAAAGAAACAACACATCTATATCCCAGCTCCACCCTTCGGTTTTAAGAGACAGTGAAACCAGCCCTAAGAACACTATCTCCTCCAAGTGCAAGGCCAGGGTCCGCACGAAGTCAACTGGCCGCCAACTGACAGGCAACTTCGCTCACTACCTCACTCTGTCGAACTCGTCGGATTATCACCAGGAAGTCAAACGTCATGCCGTTAAAGTACCGGCGCTCCACTGAGGGCGCTGGGGTCGTAACAGGTTAAGGCTAACTCACAGGGTCCAAAAGAGACTTCTAGCCACGGTCTCAGTGAGCGGCGGTTCGGAAGAAGAAAGGCACGCCTCCCAGGCTACCCTCCCAGTACACCGAGCAGTGGGAGCGCGGCGAGTAGAAAAGCAGCGCGCGACCCCATGGCATCGCCGGGCGGCAGGCCCAGGTGCGCTCAGAAGCAGACCCTGGGCACTGGCAGCTTTCACCGCGCGGAATCGCCGACTGCAGCCCAGCGACAGGGTGAGGGGTCGAGGGGGCTGCGGGACCAAAGACGATCCCTCCGGAGACGGACGCGGCACGCAATTCCAGCCAGTGCCTTAGGGCAGGTTTCACCGTCCCCCTCCCCACCAGAACACCAGCAGGAGGTGGGGACAGGGGAGGGGGTGTCCCCCAGATCCCCGCTGGCTCCAGAAAACCCTCTGCAGTCCTTGCAGTCAAGTCAACATCAGACGAGATCAAGCGGGTGAGGGAAGGGGAGGATCGACGGGTGGGGGGAGGAACCGACCTGTCGATGAGGATCTTGTGGTCCCCCATCCAGGGGATGAGGTGCTGTCCCTGTTCCTGAGCCAGGGCCCGCTCGTCGTCCCGGAACAGCTTGCAGGCATAGCCGAAAACCAAGAGCTCCACTCGGCTGCCCCCACCGCCGGCACCGCCTGGCCCGGCCTCCTCCTTCGCGCCACTTTTCCTCTCGGGTTTGGCGCGGCCCCCGCCCGCGCCGTACATGACAGCGTCCCCGGCGTCCAGGCTGGTCCTCTTCTGTGCCGCGCGACGTCCCTGATACCTCCACTTGGCCTACCCCTTCAGTCAAATGCCCCGCATCCCGGACCCAACCTCAACACCGCCGCCATAGCGGGCCACAAAATGGTGGAGGGGCAGCTTCCGGCAGGAGGGCCCGCATTTCCGGCGAGCGGACAGGCAGATTCGTCATGGCTCAAAGCTCTTTTAGCCGCTAGGAAATATTTTGGCGTTAATTTTCGCATTCAGATGCGCCGCCACAATAGGTGCTGCTGTATTCAGTGCAAAGTGCAATTTTAATGTTCGTTTTATCGGGCAGCCGTCAGGAGAGTGACGAAAGCGCGGCGTGGGATCGCGCGCCGGCTTCCGCTGCGGCCAGTCTGGCGGCGACGGAGTCGGAGGGAGGGGCCTTGCGCGCTCTAGGCCTTGGGCGAGTCCTTGTGGGTGGCCCTGCCGCGGGTGTGGAGGCCTCGGGTCCACCCCGGGCCGCTGCGCCCCTCACCGAGTCCGGGTCGCTGGGGCCATGCGTGCTCTGCCCAGGGCGGCGATGTCCTTTTCCTTGGCCCCCTTCTTCATCCCTAGGGGGACTTGGCCCCCCACCCGCCCACCTTTGAAGGTTTCCGAGGCAGCAGAGGCCCCTGCGCCGCAAATCACACGCAGGTGGCGAGATTTCGGAGACCTGAGACCCTTGTCGCGGGGAGGTGGTCTGGCGGGTCTGGAGACTGGCCACCCGGATGCGGTGCGATTTTGCTTGGTGTGTTTCCTCCTGGGCCGCAGTTTTTCCATCGGTGGTTCCATTAGGATCTTTCGGTCCCTTTTAGCTCAGTAATTTCAGGTCAGAGGGGCTGGAGTGCAAAATCTTAGGATGGAATATCCCCATGTTTGCCCTTGACTGGAAAACGATGACAGATAATCTCCTTTCTGGGCCTCAGATCCCCTTTCCATAAAAATGGCATCTTTCTACTAGTGATGTTGAAATGAGATAATGTGTATGAACCTTAACCGACTTTTGGAAATTAAGAAACAGGCAGTTCCCACCAAAAGTCTTTTGTTGTGGTTTCCCCTGACTGGGTCACGCTTCTCTGTTTTCATTTGTCAGGCTCCTCACCCAAGTTTAACTCAGTCATCCATCTCTCCACCTGGGCTTATGTGTCTACGTTGTCTGGAGTTTCCCCTCCCTGGTGACTGACTGGTGCCTTCCGATTTGTCTGTGTACCACTCATCACCACCTTAGGTTACATCCTGTGTTCAGCATCCCACTAGAATTAGCTTTAAGAGATCAGGGACGTTGTTGGGGGTCACCTTAGCATCCTCAGTGCCTAGAATGGTACTTGGCCCGCTGTGAGCCAAATACCATTTAATACCTGTAGAATGAGCTTTGCCAGCAGCTAAGCATGCATGGCCAGGCCATCGTCTTCTATCTGACTCTACAAGACTGCTCTGCCACTGCTGAGGAAGATGTACGTGTCATGGTTACTTGGTAAAAACACTGTTGGTTGCCCCCAGGCATATACTAGTTTGTTGGGGTGCTGGGCTCCCTTCAAGCTTTCCCTTGGATTTAGGTGTGGGGTGCTAAAGCAAATAAGGAGGCCATTAGCTTGAGGTCAACTCTGTAGCACCAGCTCCTATGCAAGCAAACCAAAACCCAATCAAGTAATTTCTGTGCTTCCCTGTTGGGTCTATAAAAGCTTGTTGCTCATGCTGCTGAGTGGAACTCTGAACCTCTTCTGTTTCTGCATGCTGCCTGGTTCGTGAATTGTTTTTTTGCTCAAATAAACTTGAATTGGTTTTCTGTAAAGTTTTTCTTTTAACAGTTCTGGTGTCAGAAATGGGGTCTGAAGGCCCCCGCATCCCCTCAATCATGACCTCTGGGAACAGTGACTAAACGGATGTAGGTGCTTCATTGCGCAGGACAGTTTTCTGGATAGCCTTGGGCCTACCCAGTTCTCCCTCCTTTTCCTTCGTAGTTTTCAAGAGTAACTGCATAACATGCTGGGATGCAACATCCTGAGATAGGGAGGGACTGGCCGAAGTAGCCCAGGCTCTGTTCCAGTTCTCCCCTGGAAATAGAAGGTCCTTCAGCACTTTAGCCCAGTGATTCATGTGAACACGCAGTGTGTAATCTGGGTGGGCTGCTCTTTGCAATCTCTTATCTGTGGTGTGAGTGAGGAATGTGCAGTGGAGACTTCATCCACCTGGGTAACTTTCTGAGCTTTGGGGGATTGACTCACAGTGAGTCCTAGCCTTCGTCCCTACCACTTGTCTATAGGTACGAAATGCTCTGCATGTAAATTGTTGCTTATGATAATTCAGAACAGGCTGGTAACCAGTGCCCAGTGGGTCTGCTTCACACGCTGAGCTGTTAGTGCTCACAGCTGCTCACTGCACATTTGGAGGCTGCCATTTGTAGGCCCTGCTTGGATACAAACTCTACAACTTGTGTCAAATTCTTAAAGTTTATTTGAGCATTTTTTATCTGAGCTGGGTCCAGAAGTTACGACAGAAACCGGGACTGGATCCAGTACAAGGCCTATGGGAACAGGACTGAGTCCAGTAGGAGGCTTATGGTTGGAAAGGGTATGAGAATACACGGAATGATGCCTTCATTTGGATCCAAGGAGTCTGAAACTCCTCCACCTGGAACTCCAGCCAATTTCATATGTAAGAAACTATCAACCCAGAGTCTGCACTTTTGCAGAGAAGTGGGTGAACCTACCAAAGGTTATCTAAGAGTTAGCAGTGGTCAAAGTGAGGAAGTTTTAACCTAGATAAAATTGTTCACTTGCAAGGCATTAGAAAAGAAAGGATTTTTGCAGGACTAGGTCTGAAAGGAATAAAATAAAATATTCAGGAAAAAAAGGATAAAAAGCAACTCAGAAACAACAGGATGTATTTTGATTGACATGCAGAGACTTCTAAAAGGTTAAATGAACCAAAAATTGCCTTTCTAAATGACTTCTTACAAAAAGCAAATGAAAAACTTAAGCAGCTAATTTATGAGAAAAAACTTGTATTTTGGTGGATTGAACTCACTGTGCATTCTGTCTTTCTATCCTTCTCTGCCTACTCAGAATCTCCTAACTTCTTATCTCAGTTACCTTCCTACCCCAAAGACAAAAAGAAAGCTAAACAAATGCCTTATATAGTTAGGCCCTCAGATCAATAAGTCTGCTTCTTTAATTACTGTTATGTCTTGTTCAAAAATCTTTTGAGTTCAGAGCAATAGTGAAAGGTTTCAAAGGAAAGCCCCCAGAAATTTTCTCAGAGGTAAAAAATTCTCATGGAGTACATGATCCATGATTCCTTGATCTTTCCCAATTTATTCATATGATATTGGGACTGGTGATACTTGTAAATGGATGGCTGAGGCCAGATGGGAGGTACTTGAAAAAGATATCAAAGATCTAACCGTTTGGTCTTTCAGGGATGGACTAAAAAGCAGCTAGGGAAATCTCATATGTCAAAGTAAAGAGATCACAAGATCTTAAATTTGGAAAGGAGAACTTTATTTTTGAGAAGGGTTGCAACCCTCAGCCTGGGAAGCAGACCCTCTGGCTGAGACAGAAAGGAGGCACTTTGAAGGAAGAAGGGTGGGACAGGAGGTTTATGATAAACAGGTTGGCTAAACATACATATTTAACAGGTTATAGGAGGAGGTATGAATATTCGTGAAAGGGGCTTGTGAGGATGTGTGGCAAGCAAACATGTTACATGCTTCCACGTTCACTTCAGGGTGGAGACTTTACATTAAAATCTAATAAAATTAGTCTGTGTATGTCAAAAGGTGAAATTTAGGATTGTTTGAGCCTGGAAGGTCGAGGCTGCAGTGAGCTGTGATTATGCCACTGCACTCTAGCCTGGGCCACAAAGCAAGACCCTGTGAAGACCTTGTCTCAAAAAAAACAGGTAAGTAAATAAGATTAAAGAACTGTAAAAACCTAAGAATCAACATGCAAATGTGTGTTTTGTAAAATTATTTTAAGTTGCCACATAATAATTGTACATATCTATGAGTACAGTGTGATATTTTCATTGCATGTATACAATGTGTAATGATCAAATCAGGATAATTAGCTTATCTATTGCCTCAAACATTTATCATTTCTTTGTGCTGAGAACATTCAAAATCTGCTTGTTTAGCTATTTGAAATATACTATAAATTGTTAATTATAGTCACCCTGCAATGCTATGGAACACTAGACTCATCCCTCCTAACTAGATGTACTTTTGTATTTGTTATTTATTTATTTATTTGAGACAGAGTCTTGCTCTGTCGCCCAGGCTGGAGTGCAGTGGCTCCATCTTGGCTCACTGCAACCTCTGCCTCCCGGCTTCAAGTGATTCTCCCGCCTCAGCCTCCCGAGTAGCTGGGGCTACAGGCACACGCCACCATGCCCGCCTAATTATTGTATTTTTAGTAGAGGTGGGATTTCACCATGTTGGCCAGGATGGTCTTGTTCTCTTGACCTTGTGATCTGCCTGCCTCAGCCTCCCAAAGTGGTGGGATTACAGGTGTGAGCCACCGCGCCTGGCTGACTACTATTGTATTTGTTAATCAACCTTTGGCTATGCCCCCTTCTCCTGACACTTCCCAGCCACTAGTAACCACTATTTTACTCTCTACTTTTATAAGATCAACTTTTTTAGCCTCCACATATGAGTGAGAACATACAATATTTATCTTTCTGTGCCTGACTTATTGCTCTTAAGAACCTCCAAGGTCGTCCATGTTGCTGGTATGACAGAACTTTCTTTCTTTCTTCTTTTTTTTTTTAGATAGAGTTTCACTCTTGTTGCCCAGGCTGGAGTGCAGTGACGCGATAATCGGCTCACGGCAACCTCTGCCTCCCAGCAACCTCTGCTTCCCCGGTTCAAGTGATTCTCCTGCCTCAGCCTCCTGAGGAGCTGAGATTATAGGCATAAGCCACCACGCCTGGCTAATTTTGTATTTTTAGTAGAGACGGGGTTTCTCCAGGTTGGTCAGGCTGGTCTTGAACTCCTGACCTCAGGTGATCCACCTGCCTTGGCCTCCCAAAGTGCTGGGATTACAGGTGTGAGCCACCACACCCAGCCCAAAACTTTATTCCTTTTTTGTGGCAAAATGGAATTCCATTGTGTATATATACACCACATGTTCT